GTCATTTGTTCTTAGTGGACATTGCTTCACACAGTGTAACTTGATTTACATCTTTAACAAAAATGAGCTGAAAGGGCGAAAACCGACCATAGCATTGCATTTTAGCCTTTCTCCACGTATTCCTTTCGTTAATTTTTTTAAACTCGTATCCGATTTTAAACATGCTGACAGATACGTACTGTGTGAGGGTAGATTACAGGGAATATTTTACTATTTTCAATGGACTTATTTGTACCTTTATAGCTTATGTACCATAGTTAACTTGTAAATTCGCCTTTGATTATATTCCCTCTTTGACCACCAATTTCACATGAAGATATATCGATGATTTCCTATCTTTAAATAACTGATAAGAAATTTATTGACCATATTTGTCTAAACCAGTCGCTTTCCTCGATCTTTAAAACAATATGACCAAAACATGACGGCATACTATATACTATTTCCTCCACCACCAAAACCCGGCACGTCCTTAAATGACATAGATTTTAATAGGGCGTAAACCACAAACAAACCAAACAATTTTCCAGTCGTAAACTTTCTTTTTCTTGAAAGCAACATCCCTACTACCAGCAATTTTGCATTCAAACTCTTCAGTGCTCAAATCAAATCACAATGTCCGTGATCGATATGGAATGCTGTTGGACGGCGGTTCGGACAAAAACGATATACAATAACGCGTTAAAAAAGTAACGCGTTAGAAGTGACTTTTAACGCGTTGGAACTGACTTTTAACGCGTTAGAAGTGCATTTAACGCCTTAAAAGTCGCTTCTAACGCGTTAAAATTCACAACTAACGCGTAACAATGGTAAATGCACTGGCCAATCAGAGAAATCGTTTCATAGTTGATGTTTTTGATATTTAAAATAAATAAAAATGTTTTGACTATTTATATTGAAAAAAACCCAGACAATAACCGATTTCCACATCATATTTTTCTTCTAAGTAATGTGGAAATGGGTTATTGTCTGGGGTTTTTTCAATATAAATAAACAAATCTTCATTTAACTTTAATAAAATATGACAATTTTGATATATGAATAAAATTTCCAGAGCCTTAAAAGTGGTGTCGGAACGCTATTTAGAATTTTTATAATTGATTTCCAGAAAATGCCCTATTTTTTGGGAACTTCAAAAAGTCATTTTTGCTTTCTGGTTTTTTCATTAAACAATTCCTGTATGAACATAAAATTATCACATAAAAGGAACATACAAATTGTTTGGAGTCATTAAAGGAAGAAGAATGACAATGTATTAGAAAGAGGTAGGAACAGCAGATAAGTGTGTATCATTGCGATAATGAATTATGTTGTATGCAAGTATTCAAGTTGCCAGGTTCACGAGGATGTTGGACAACATGTAATGTATATTATATAAGTATGAAATCTGGTGATTATCAATATAAATTAGACGGTTTTGTAAGGTATCCACTGGTTCAATACATGTATGAAATCCACGATTTGTCCTTCACAGATCTCAATTAATATTCATATGTAATATTTATGAAGTGCAGCGTTTCCAGGGTGATTTTCTGTTTAGTTGTAAGGGTATATTTTTTGTATTTTAAAAATGTTCGAAGGTCATTTGTATATATGTTTCTAGTCATTGTAATAAATTGTTAAGATTCTATTCAACGTTAACAAGACTGTTGGTTTGTTGTTCTTTTTATAGTTAAAGTTATAGTTTATTAGTTGGGCTTGAAGTCTATCCAACACATAAGTGTTTTGCGGACTAGCACAGATATGGAGGATGAGACAGATAAGGCAGGAAAAGAGAAAGATCCTACATTTGTGGAAAAATTATGGGATCCTGAGGATTTATCCTGATAAATGTTCAGTTTGATATTGTAGGAGACTCATCAAAAACGGCTGCATTGACAAGAAAGGGTGTTTCAAATGTCCTGAATACTGTACAATGTTGTTTTACTTTTCAGGCGTCCCAATTACGCAATGTAGTCGCCTTGGATTTTATCAGGCATTGTCAATTTCCTCGGGTGATCGTTTAGGCCCATAACCTCTTGTGTCTACACACGATCGGATTGACGACACATAACCTCTTGTGTATACACACGATCGGATTGACGACACATATCCTCTTGTGTCTTCACACGATCGGATTGGCGACACATAACCTCTTGTGTCTATACACGATCGGATTGACGACACATATCCTCTTGTGTCTACACACGATCGGATTGACGGCACATAACCTCTTGTGTCTACACACGATCGGATTGACGACACATAACATCTTGTGTCTACACACGATCGGATTGACGACACATAACCGTGTTCATATCAATGTGTATATCATGCATGTGAAAGTTGCAGCACACGCACTTCGTAGTTGGAATTGACTTCTTTACATTCTTTTAAAAACTCGTTAACTTCAAATGTACTATCTCTTCCGCCAATCTACTTAGGTTTCGGTGAACGTAAATTAAACATTTTGCATACAAAACTTAGATATCAGTGTAGTCCATTTAAATATGATCTGTATAGGGTAAATCTTGTTGATAGTCCAGTTTGTAATTGTGGCCATCCCTGTGAAAATGCCTTTCACTTTTTTGTGAGTGCTTACTTTTTAACGACGAAAGACGCATCCTGTTCCAAAATTTGAATGCCTTGTATGTTGATTTTGATTTTGAATTACTTTTGTTTGGTAATACCCAACTTTCGGTAGAAACCAATACAAAGGTTTTTAAACAAGTGCATCATTACATCAAATCCAGCAATAGGTTTTGATAATTATAATTATCATTCCTTATTTTTATTTATATGTGTACGTTGTTATATATGTTTATGAAATTGCATTTCATTATTTTGCCTGATTACTTTATTANCTCCATACCCTTCCTTCTCCACCCTATCCTCCTCCCGTTCCCCCCAAAACATATACATTGTATTTACCATATGTATTTAGGAGAGGACTTTTATTAAGTTGTAATAACTTGTTGTCCATTCCATTTGTATATTTGTACAATAAAATATGTTTAAACTAAACACACACTGCACATGTACATCTAAAATACTGTGTCAAATGACATTCGTCCCTGTCGGCCGATATCATCACTAGTGTTTGTATGCGACGTTTTCGTGTTTTCAAGTTTCCTGCTCTTGGGATAGCAAAGAAAGTGGTTTGGGAAGAACATAGTAGAGATGAGAATTGATTCGGGGAGGAATGAAGAGTGTTTTACACCTAGTATAGAACTAATTTTAATTATTAAACAAAACTTTATATTTTAAAATTGTTTCCAAGCATGAAATAACCAATGTTTAATGTGTGCCTGAATCATCCGAGCTACCCCGCTCCCTTCCCTTCTTTCTCTCTCTCTCTGTGTTATAGTTAAAAAGCAGGTTGTATATAAGTTTAAATGTTTTTGTACCGATCTTTTCCGATGCTGACGGCACAAGAGAAACGGATATTCAAGGACGAACGAAATGACAAGGAAGAAGCAAACCAAGGCACGGGGGTGATGGACAATAGTATAAGCAAAATGTTTTGGAAAGTGTATATTGTCAACTTCTGCCGTCAGTGTCAGAAAAGATTGTCCACATTATGAAAAATACATTTTTAAAATCTCTCTCGCTCTCTATACAGATGTTTTATTTTAGGGAAAGGGCTTTAAATAAGTTGTACAACTTGTGCCCAATCCTGTTGCTTTAAAGGCAATAAAATATGTTTAAATCAAAATCATCCGAGCTATGTTTTTCCACATCAGAAGACATGTCTTTCAAAATTGACAAGAACTATTCTGCATCCTCCTCGGCGGTTAAATTCCCAACAGCCCGCCTTACGTCTCTTTCTAGACAAAGAATTATATGGAAAACATGAAGATTAGATTGGTGCTGATTTATCCAATAAATAACGGTTATTAGGACATTTGATCTTATTCCGTTGTGCAATGTCCGTCATTCTGTCCCAATAACTTTTGTTTAAATATCTTTTTCAACAGTCAATAAATAAACTGATTTTAACCAAACTTTCTAGTGAAGTATCATTGGGTGTATAAGTGTTTGTATTAACCTAACGAAGGCATTTAAGGAAATCGGTAAAAGAAAAAGAAAAAAGACTTTTTGAAGTTCGAAAAAAATAGGGCATTTCCCAGTGAAAATAAATTAGGAAAATTCTAAATTACGTTCCGACACCACCTTTAAGGCTCTGGAAATTTTATTTATATATATCAAAACTGCCATATTGTATTCCAATTAAATGAAGATATGTTTATTCATATTGAAAAAATATGAAAAAAGAATCGATTTCCACATTACTTATAAGAAACATATGATGTGGAAATGGGTTATTGTCTGTCTTTTTTTCAATATTTTATTAGTCATAACATTTTTATTTATTTTAAATATCAAAGGCATCAACTATGAAACGATTTATCTGATTGGCCAGTGCATTTACCATTGTAACGCGTTAGATGTGAATTTTAACGCGTTAGAAGCGACTTTTATCGCGTTAAAAATATTTTTACATTTGAAAAAGTAACGCGTTAAATGCACTTCTAACGCGTTAAAAGTAAGTTTTAACGCGTTAACAGGCAGTTCTATCGCGTTAAAAAGCAGTTCTAACGCGTTAAAAGTCACTTCCCACGCGTTACTTTTTTAACGCGTTACTGTATATCGTTTTTGGCCCGAACCCCCACCCAATACGCTGAACTTTTGGTACGGATTCGGCACTGTATCAAAATCTCATATCCCATGGCCCGTCTCATTGCAGCTATCTCCAAAACAAAATTAAGAGCTAAAAACTGTATGTATGAATAACCATGTGTAATTATCTAGTCATATGCCTGTATTGGGGCAGTAATCCTTAAATCGTCAATGGATTGATATAATCTGTGCAGAAATGGGAAAAATAGCCACGATACAAACAAGCAAATCCAAATTCTCGAATAACTTTTGAGACGACCACTTTGTAACTCTTTTATACACGGAGGTACAAATGGTTTTTAGTCTATATGAAATCGGAATACCTTTGGACTTTACATAACTAGAAAAGTTAGACGGACAGAATGGCGTCTGCAGGAACAGGTAAGATGACAGTGAATCCAGACATCGCCAAAGAACGTCGGAATGCAAGTTTCCACGTGGAAAATCTTACCAACTTTATCTACCACGGACCAGAAAGAGTTAGAAGGAGGCGCTATATGCGTAAGTACTAATTCTGTTGGGCGAAGTGCTGACTGTCACGTACCGACATTTTAGGTCCAAACTACCACTTCATCTGTTCATAGTTGTTCTAACGAGTGGCCTCATTACTGACCCATGATTTGTGTCATACAGACATGTAGATATATCTAGGTCATATGATATACAGATCTTACTAGATATTCGACTACTTTATTGAATTGTACTTTTCATATAAAATTTTATATGCACGGTGAAACTTATGAACGCGTTTGTATCAAGAATTGTTAGCTTACAAAATACATTTAAGACTTATTTAACGCCGGTTACATAAAACAGACAACATTAGCTTCCAGAACTTTTATCCAACAAAACATCAGTAGATAAAACAAATTAAAACCAGCTGTTGGTGTAAAAAAAAATAAACCCATAAATACAACAAGAAAGAGAATAGTGTGCTTCCATCAGGGATGGAACCCAGCTCGCTGATGCTATATCTACCATCTGTAAATGCATGCTTATAAATACTCGTTCTTCCCAAGAGCAGTATTACTATTGAACAACCTCTCTCCAGATATAACCAGAGCGCCTACCTTGGATGAATTCAAGGCAAAGTTGTCATGACCAAACAGAAGTAGACAGACACTGGTGTTCATTTATGAGTTTTATTCAATGAACTTTTTTGACACTGTCATTATTTTAAATTAAGCACATGCTGTGCATGTGCAATCAGCGTGATATCCAATAGGATGTTGCTGATTTCTGACCAGAACTCACAATCCCATACTTCCTAGTGAATGTTATACCAATGAAGCTAAAGGAAATTCTCTCTAGCTCAAAGCTAGAAGGCTACTGTAATCCTATGTACAATTAAAATCTGCCAAAATACAATAAATCTGTAACAGAAATGCAACAGTCAGATCAGTGTTCAAATCGGGATCCTCTGAACTCTAGAAAGACGCTCTACCAATTGAAATACCTGGTCACTGCCAATCGACCCAATACAGCTTAACTTTACATGCATACCTGCATCAATTAGAGTAGAACCTGGAAGCATTAAAACAGGCACAAGTACATCCAGATTTACAATATATTTAATGCGGTATATATATAATAGCAATGAATATATACATAAAGTTAAATGAGAGCAAATAATAGCAAAAAATGAGAGCATAATATCCGTGGGAAGAGCTTGTCCAGTGTTGCTAGATGAATAAATGATTGAAAAGTAATTTTGTTTTCCCCAAAACTACCGACAAACCGCCTGAGGCAATACCCAAGAATTTCCTCCTGCGTCAGACACACTTGCTGGTCTGTAGGATGCTTAAAGGAAATGAAAGAGTATCCGAGTCATGAAGTAATAACCACTTTGTTCAAAGTTTATTGATGTTTATTTAGAAGCACACTATTGAATTAGCTATTAATAATTAAAACATGATAAACAATACATACATTAATAAGAGTATATATATATACATGTGACAGAAAAAAGGTCTATATTGTAAAGGAAAAGATGAAGATGTAGTTTAGGCCTATATAGGTAACTGTAGCTACATGTATATATGATGACAACCAAACCCCTTCCAGTACACTTGTTGACCAGTGCATTATGCTAGCAAGCCTTAAGCTTACCCTAACGTTCAGTACATAAGTAGCACTGCTTGTCAGCACCTGGGTGGAGAGGTTTTCCCATCCTGGTATAGACAGCTTTCCGGCCACACAAGTCACTGCTTTTGCCAGGGCATCCCATTTCATACCCCAGCCTCCTTGCCCTATGTTACCTGTACCAGACAACCATTCTGATTGGTTGAATCTATTTATGACATATCTGCATTGAGCTCTGATCTGAACTTTTTCCAATTTATCTGTGTTTATTTTAATAAAGAAGCGCCAGATGAGTGGACAATAGTTAGATGAGAAGTCTTGACTCAATAGACAAAAGTTGCTCAGTGTCTGTGACACATTTGATAGTTGTCAAGCTGCACTTTTACACATCTTAGTAATCCAGTTTTCAAAGTTTAACAGAAAGTCAATTTCAATACCAAGTAAAGTGACCCTATCCTCACAGAGAATATTTCTATTCCTAACAGACAGACTGGAAAATTATGAGTTAGTCTTTTTGCTTATTGATATCGCTTGAAAATTTTCAAGACTAATTGTCTTGCATTTGGTTTAATGCAAACCAGTCAATTAGGATCGTGTATGTTTTCACTCTCAAGAATTGTTTTCAGTAAATCTCTGCTTTTTTCTATGAGAGAGTATCAATTGTCATCAACATAATTATGAATAGTAGATTAATTCTTAAAATAGAAAATATCTTATAAATAAACATATTGAAAAACAAAGGCCCCACTATAGAGCCCTGGGGTACTCCTTTTATTATTTCTAGCCATCAACTGGTATTGTTTCCAATTTGATTCATTGATATCTATTTTCGAGTTAGCTAGCTAGCTATAAGGTTACATGGATGTTTTGTTAGGCCATATGTTTCAAGTTCCATAATTATCAAGTTGTGAGACAAAGGTAGTCAAATGCATTTGATAAGTCCATTAGGACAGCTTAAGGCTGTAACAGTTTTACATCGACTGATACAGCTAAGGAGAACTTCCCTTAAGCGTGAAGCTAGAATGTGACCGTAATCTTGGTCTCTGTGGAGTATAACATATAAATAGATAGATAGATATAATCTGTTTTTAAAATAAATGTGTTTTGCAGAGAACATAGCTCTCCAGGACCCTGTGATAAAGGACAGTAAGCCCTGGGCCTTTAGGACACGAGAGGAGGAATATGAGCTATCACTTCGTAAACAGCTCCACGTCCTCCAACGCCAGAAAGACCTTGGCATAACAGACGAATTTGACAAGTTCTACTACAATGAGTAGGTTTGGTAGTTTCAGATGAGCTGGCTTTGTATATTAATACACAAAAAAGGTTTATTGTGTTATTTACACAAAAATATTTCCTTGGTATAGTCTCTTCTTAAACCTGCTGATAAATGTTTTTTTATGAAAGCATATACATATATGTATAACATCAATGACAATTACATAATTATGAATGTATTCCAAATAGAAATTGTTCAGATATTTCTGTAGAAATGTTAGTGTGCTGGGGAACAATCATATAGTATATTTAAGGATTAACTTGAATATATTTTTCAGGTTATGGAGATATAACACAAAAAAACGTAGTGTACTCTAAATAAACCGCGAAGCGGTTTATGATGAGAGTAAACTTCGTTTTTTTGTGTTATATATATACTACCTACAAATAATACATGTGATTTATGTGTGAGTTATCTCCCTTAAGGATATATCCTTCCTTACACATTATATAATTCTATGATATAAGACTTTCAATGTTTTCAAAGAAAATTGATTTATACAACCTTATATATGTAGTACAAACCTGTGAAATTTGAGAGAGATGTCTCTGTTAATAAATAATTAGAATCAAGTAATAATTCAAAAGTACAGGAGTTTTATTGGTGCATGAATTTCTGATTTCAGTTAATAAATCCTATTTTTCATTACCATCATTCATAAAAAAAACACTTAACAGTTTGATCAGTGTGGAAGTTATTGCATTATATCTTTTGGTATGAAGATGCTTATACTAGTTTGTAATGTTACTTAATCAATATGTTGCTTGTTGACAGAGCTACAGCTCCCAACGAGAACAACCCAGTTGGTCTACACTTCGGCATGTTCATACCAACCATAGAGAAGCATGGCACTGAGGAACAGAAGAAGAAGTTTGTACAGCCAGCAAAGGACCTCAAGATCATAGGAACATATGTTCAGACTGAACTAGGACACGGTACAATTTATGTATAATTAGACTAATATAGACAATCACTACAGGCTTTAATGGATAATTTTCCTCACCATTTGCTGTAAATTTCCCAATATTTTCTAGTATCTTACCTAGGCCGTCTTCGTTTATCGCGATCCAAACGGTTGAACCGGCTGGACCAGAGTTGTTCGTTTATGAAATAAGGTTAGACCCAATAATCTAAGGCTGTTTTCAGGTAGGCCTTGACAAAGCTTTGCAAGGCCTGCATAAACATTTGCAGGTCTGCGAGGATTTATACCCGAAAAATGTTACATTTAAAAACAGATGTACCGGTTGTTCCGCATAAACGAACATGTCCCTAGTTTCATTCCAGATTTCTAGATCCTGATTGCATTTATATATTGAAAACATTTACAGGAAACTTTCCCTTTGTCTTAGAATATACGTAGTTCCTAGAAAAAGAAAGTTTGTCCTAAACTTAGATCAATTTCTAACAGTGAAGGCTAGATAAACAGGCCATGTTCATTTCATGACAAAAACTAGTGCCTGGATAAACAAAACACTGAGATTATGAGGATTAGTTTGTGTAGAAAATGGTGAAATGTTCCCATACACATTGACAGGATATAGTGATAGAACCAGACTACTGGTGCTGAATTAATGTGACGTCACTTGTATTGATAAAGTTAAAGTGTTTGAATAGTCAGTTCTATAGTGTGAATATCAGTGACATTAGTTATTCAATGGTTACTTCAATAGCCATGAATCAGTTGCTGAATATATACCAAAGTATATACTTCTCAAAATTGTGATGTGAACTTTAAAGCCTAGCATTGAAGATTTTCTTAAACAATATGAAAAAAAAACATTCTCAGTTTAACTTCCTATTTTGTGTGTATTGTATCTTGAAGACCTGCTTTATAGAAACATGCTCTCAGATGGTTGTATTTGTGTCATTGAAGTTTTTGCATTATACATTTTTAGCACATCATCATCAGATGGTGGGCTATTAAAGTCACCCTGCATCCATTGTCCATCGGCATTCCGTCCGGCCTTGAACAATTCTTGTTAGCGCTATTTTTCGAAAAGTACCAGAGGAATCTTTTCTAAATTGCACATGAAGGTTCCCCATGGTCCCTAGTTATGCATATTAATTTTTGGGGCCGATCACAAAACAAAGATGGCCGAAAGGTAGCCATCTTCAATTTGAGAGTTATAGTTTGTCAGCACTACTTCTCAGAACTTACTGAAGGGATCTTTCTTGAATTTTATATGAAGGTTTGCCATGGTCCCTAGTTATGCAAATCAGATTGTGGTGGTCATCTTGGATTTTGACATTTCAAGAAATATGTGACGTTTCGATGACTTGTACGATATGTACACCGTCACCTTCATCAGACAAATGACTAGTGAAGCATATTCACACAAAGGTATAAAATGTGTACGAATTATCCACATAATCGATGTTGATTGCGGCTACGCTGGAAACGTAGCCGAAACCTGGAATAGTTGTTATATATGTACCGAAATGACTCAGCTCAGCTACGCTTTGTTAACACTTGGTCATAGATGTACACATTTTACACCTTTGTGTGCATACGCTTCACTAGTCATTTATCTGATGAAGGTGACGGTGTACATATCGTACTAGTCATCGAAATGTCACATAGAAAATTTTATTGGTTGCATGTGTAAAAAGAACTTCTCATAATTTATTCTGACCAACCTGAAGAAAATGTTTAGAAAAAGCACTTAAAAGAGCTTTCTCATATTGAAATGATCAGTTCTGTTTCTGTCACATTAAGAACTGAACAAGTAAATATGTGATAATACAAACTTTTTATATACCGCAGTACGCAGTTTAGATCATAAGCTACCACAAGGTGCATTTACTGTTTACATGACTCAATCAAACAGATAAGAGAAAGGAAAGATCAAACTGACATAGAACTAATAAAGATGGCACAATGGTGGGTGCCAAGATACCTCTGGGATCACTTGTTTAATAAATGATATTGAAAAAGAGTCCTGTTATACATTTATATTATTTATATTAATGCTGATGTGTTTATATGGTATAGGTGATTCATAATTACATTATCTGACTGACACTGCAGGAGTTTTGTCTGTCTTTGTCAGGAACCTTTATCAGAGGTCTGGAAACAACAGCCACATTTGACCCCAAAACCCAGGAGTTTATTGTGGACACGCCTACTCTTTCAGCAACCAAGTACTGGCCTGGAAATTGTAAGTGGATTTATAGAACTTATAGAATTTTAATAATTTCTAGGTTATCACTGTATTTAGTCAAAATAGAAATGTTATACATGAGATGTGATTCAGGGTTATAGATTCTTGTATATGTCACGATCCACTGTATGTATGTATAGCAGAACTGTACTGGGTCGATCACCGGCAACCAGGTATCCTCAATCGGGAAAGCATCTGCCTAGAGGTCGGAGGGTCTCGGGTTCAAATCCCATTCTGGCCGTGCATTTATTTTTTCCTGTTACAGTGGTGACTGTGACCAACCATTCTTTCAAGCATTGGGTGAATGCTTGGCTAGCGGATCCCTGAACCTGGGTTGTATATAGTGATGTCTTTGGGGGCAAAGTCATGGAAAAAAGAGGGAGCAATGTAGCGCAATCAGACTGGATGAATCACCATCCACCAGGCAGCTCAATTGGTAGAGCATCTATCTAGAGTTTGGAGGGTCCTGGGTTCGAATCCTAGTCTGGCTGTGCATTTCTCTTTCCTGTTATACATGTTGCTGAACTGGCTGGGTCCAACATTTGCAACCAGGTAGTTTAATTAGTACAGCATTTGTCAACACTTTGGGGGGTCTTGGGTTTAAATACTGCCCTGGCTCTGCATTTTCCCCCAAATTACACATGTTGCGGAACTGGACCGGGTCGAGCATCGGGGACCAGGTAGCTCAATTGGTAGAGTGTCTGTCTAGAGTTTGGAGAGTCCTGAGTATCCCAGTCTGGCAGTTGCATTTCTCTTTCTCCTGTTATAAAATTAGCGAGCTTAGCATAAAGATGTGTCTTCAGGCGTGAAGACTTAAAAAAAAGGAGGGAGAAATGAGCTGGACTGGTTCAAATTAAACAAGAGGCCCAATGGGCCTG